GGTTACAGCTGCGACTACGACCGCAACCGCAGTTCCAACCGCTGCTACAGCCGTAACGACAACGTTACCGTCGACGTCATCTTCAACGTCTAGCTCGATGAAGTACGGCAATACCGTTAGAAGACCTACCGCTGCGAAGTCGATTATTAGAAGCAATAATTCGAGGAGTAAATTGAAAACGAAGAACACGGGGAAATCATCGACGACTGTTCGGCCCGGTAAGAACGTTGGGAATATGACAGCGCAGAGTATGTCGTTGACGATGAATAGTTTGGCTGATTTGGATCATCCGGAGAAGTTGAATCCGGGTAAGTTAAAATCGAATCTCGAGTTGTTTTCTCTTTCTCCGACTTGTCGTAATCTTCCTTCTTGTATCTCCATTAGCTGAATCATACGGACCTATTACTCTCGAGTACTTGAATTACGCCATCGCTCTCGGAGTGTATTCTGTGAGATACCCAGCGGTGTTCTGGTCGTGCAATAAACCGTTGGCCACGATTTTTAGCTTCCAGTTGATCGTCAATTCCGCCCAGAGTTTATTAGCCTATATTGGAATGTCCGTACTTTACAAGGTAAGACACGCTCTTGTAAGAAATTCCCTTATAAAAGTAAAAAGTAACGGAAGAATTAAAATTTGTAACATCTTCAGGTTCAAGTGATGGGACCCTTGAAGGTGCTACCAGTTCTTCGACAACAGTATCGCACGATATCGACTACTAGCAGCATATCGACAATCTTCGGGGACTCTTACTTCTTACTAAATCCACACGTTACCCTCGTCTTGTTTGCTCTTTCCTCCCTCCTGGTGCTCTGTTCTAGCATGGTGATGTATTTCTACGCTTACGGCAGGTAAGTCGCTTTCCATACCCTCTGTTTTCTTCCATTCCGCCCTGTTTCGTTCTTTAATGGAACTGCTTTTCGTCGTACGAAAGTTTCTTTAACTTCTTTGCGCTTCTGTACATACAGGTTTACGGCGTTTTTGAGCCAAGAACGAGAGCGTCGAATAATCTTGTCAAAGGAGAATAGAAATGGCAATGGTTGGATGTATTTCATTCACTGCACAGCTCTGTGCGTATTCCTGTCGATCGCGATCTGCAGCGCACCGTTGCTCTACGACTACAGCGTCGTGTATCGTGGCAGTCTGGATGGCGCGATATTAGCCTGTGTCGTCGCTACCGTTCTGCACTTGTTCCTCTGGTTACTCTTATGGATCTTTCTCACGATAAAACAACGCTGGACATTCAAATTGCGAGTGACGATCGGTCGTGCTACCGTTAGGTCAGCCAGATCGGTGAAACTCGTAACTGACGTGGATCTATTGTCAGCTAGAGACGACGAGGACGGAACTAACGCGCCGTTACTGGTCGTTGGGAATGGTAGAACTTACACGATTGCCGACGCGTCGCCGAAGAAAGCTATCATGAGCGTGATACAAAAGGCGGCTATTGAAAGGAAAGCACGCAGTCAAGGTAAAATATCGCGCTATGGAGGAAGGCGGCAGTAAGCGCGTAAGAGCGTACGAGAAACTTTTTCGTATCTTTGAATACTCGTGAATATTTTGTGTTTTAATTTGGTCCAAAGTTGCAGCAATGTCGGCGATATACTTATACTACTGTTAAACGTTTTCTTTTAATAATTGTCTCCGAGTCAATTTTTATTACACCAGCGTACGAACAATACGTCGAGCTGACGAACAAACTATAGTCTTGTGTAACAGAACCGTTTATAGCACGACCCTCTTTTTACTTTCCGCGGTATATTATCGTTTAAAACATTAACGGCTGATGTTGTTTCTAACTTGAAAGATAAGCTTCGAACATTCTGTACCCGAAATTCGTTCATAATTTCGATACCTTGGCACGAATTTATAAATATCTGACACGTATTTCGCGACACTGTCTACTATAATCCTTTTTATCTTATTCCAATCGTAGGAAACGTCGATTCCGTAAACGGCGACTCAGCAGCCGACGACGAACAGATTTATTGGCTAAGACCAAAATTACGTCCATCGCCGACTAGATCGCCGAACGACGGAAACGTAGCGCCAACGACGGAAAAGGGCTGGCTGAACAAGAAATTGAAACCCAAGGTCACCTTTAACGACCTGCCTAGTACGTCAGGCTCGCGGTAACTACCCTCCTCCCTCCTCTTGATGTCTTTCTGTATGTATCGTTGTGTCCGTGCCCGTGCTCATGCTCGTCTTCACTTTCATTTACTCTCTCTCCTTCCTGTAAAACTAACTCGAGATTCCTGTAGAGAATTCGCCCGATCGATCGTTCCAATTCGGTAATCAGTCCGTATCACGGAGAACTTGCCATCGCCTTTTTATCATAACCTGCGTTCCCTTTGTGGAATTCTCCTGCTTTGGCTACTATGTATTTTTATAATGTTTGTTGCTCTTACGATATTCAAGCGAGTAATTTCCTATCGATCTCCTCTTCTCACCTTGAATTCTTTTTCCACTTAATCGTACCGTGTTCGTATCTGGTGCTTACGTACACGCGCGTGTTGTCAGTGTTATTAAATTGCGTGCTTTTAAAGTGTATCGAGATTCGTTAACTCTTTGAGATCATAATGTTATATTATTACACCTATTTCGTATCACGATCTAGCAGGAATTCTTAAAAAATAAAAAACGTTACTAATATCATATGATACGCTATGTTATTACGCTTATGTTACGCTATGAGTAAACGATATTTCATTTTCAATACAATTCGCACCAAGTGTCAAATCTCGAAGAGTTAACGTCACGTATTGCTAGCACCTGTATTTATTCACTAAGCCTTATTGTCATTCGTTTTCGCTTTCACGAGACTGAATAAAATTTCTTACGTTTACGTCCAATATGGACCACATGGATCGCTAGAAACTAACAAAAAAGAGATATCACTTTATCCAATTCTCTCTTTTCCTGTCTTCCTCCCCTCCCTTTCTTCTCCCCTGTCTTTCTCCCCTTCTCCCATTATCTCTATTTTCCTCGTCTATCCTAACGGATAAGTATTCGTATGACCTCGTTGTAACATATTACAACGTGGTGCGTGTGGATTGCAGCAATAAAGGAAAAGTCAGACGAGGCACCGGTGACGGAGGCCCTGAAGATGATGGAGATTATGCCACGTTACGAGAATTACCGCTGATCACGTCTCTGGACCCAGCGGACGATTCAACGTCCGAAGAGAACAAGGTATTCGATCATTTTCTGTCGCGAATCGTCCTTTCCCCGTTAGATTTCATTCGCGATAAACGTTTCGTTAACTTGAAAATATTTTGCTCGAGTACCTTCCGACTCTTGTAACGTCGTTCATTTCCCCTTCGACATTTAACTTAGTTTTCTTTTGCTTTGACAGTGGGAAAGGTGGCTGATATCTCGTAGGGACGTTATACCTAAGTTTGGCAACGTAAGGCGTACAAAAATATTTTTTTTTTATTCGTTCGTTTGTTTTCTCGTTTCGTGTTGACGCTTCGAAGTAATACTAACATTTTTTAACTGCGTGTGTTTGTTTTTTGGTTGCGTACTAACATACGTTAACGTAGAATCGTACGAGACGAGGAAAGATGTTTGAAAAGCGATTTAACATCGTACAAATTTCTACGCAATTCGATCGCATCGGTAGTGCACGTTCGATCTTCTTACGCTTATCCTCCCATCCTTTCGAATTCTGCTCTGTCATCTCCAAACAGCAACCGTACCAATTTTATATTGTACATGTAAATGTATCTACGTAAAAAAAGGTTCGAGAGATACGTTTGCTAAGAATTGAAACACGTTTGTTTCTCTCCTCTTCTTCCTTCGCCCGATGGTCCTGTTTTTCTCTTCTTTTTTTTTGCGTTCTCTCTTCGATTCGTATGATCTCCAATAAATTCATGAGACTCTTGCAGGCTTACTTTCTAATTGGCATTTCGCTTGGCAATTAATCGTTGATGAAACGTTTCAACAGCTGCTCGAGTGCGTGAACGACGACCAAGTGACATACTACGCGAGCGCAAATCGCGATCTACAACCTTCGGAAGGCGACCCCTCGCCCCTATTGACTCCAGACCCTTTGCCCGATCCCACTTCGGAACCACTTCCACTGCCACCTCCGACTCCGACTCCGACTCCAACTTGTGCACCGACTACCGAAGTTGTCACGGCGTTACTAACCACTAACACCCAGGTACTAACAACTCTTGTCGTTCACAATATACTTTTCTTCTAACAAACTACCAAATAAATACCAGACAGAAAAATGACAAATAAATAAATAAATAACTGAATACAGAGAGCGAGATAAACGTCGATAAACAAAAATCCGTGGAAGCCCTGTTCCTTAAATTGAAGGTAGGTGGTCGCGCATTGGTTTCAGGCAAACGGTGGTCAAACGCCGCGATGTCTGCGTCGAGGGGATTCGGGAATGCCACACGAAGAGTTAACACCTCGCTCGGATTCTTCAAATTCTCCGCCATTGGACGCCGTGGTGGGTGGTAGCAGCGGAGCTGGTTCGGTGACGGGTCACAGCAACGCGAGCAGCCACAGCGAAACGTCCTCGAGTGGCGTGCACAGTAACGCGAGCAACGCGAGTAACGGTAGTTGTCAAAGACGAGCGACGAGCGTGGACGACGTGAGCGGCAACTGCGATCAACGAGACGGCGAGGAATCACGCGATCAGTGGCGCAGCTGTTCCCTCCAGCGAGGGATTCAGCCTCCATCCGCAACGGCCACCTTCTCACCGCCGAACAGTCGTCCAGGCACTAGTCAATCCTTCTCATCGCCGCAATACGCGAATCACGTGCCACTGTTCGCCAATATCAACGCGAATTCAACAGCGAACGCGAGTATAAACGCGAGTGCGAACACGGGCGTCAACACGAACGTTAACGCGAACGACGTCAACGTGGTTGGACAAGGATGTCCAGCTGTGATTCTCGAGAATCCGAACGAGGCGACCGTGGTGATCCGGCGGAAACTCTCGAGGACGAAGCTGACGGAACCGCTGAATCCTAACGAGGAACCTTTCGGTCGTTCCACGAACATGAGGATGACGTCGTTCACGGAGAGCAACGATATCCGCGTGCACGCAACGTCGGCCACTCTGCCGCATTATCCGACCCAGCCGGCGGTCACTTATCCGCATTGCTCCACCATGCCTCTGCCACACGCCTCTCATAGTATGGCTGGATCTCATATGGGTGGATCTAGCGGAAGCTGCGGATCGGTGCCGAGGCACGCTTTCGTCCCTCCGCAAGTACACTCGTCGGTACCAGCCCATACTACTCTACCGTCCCATCACAACGGCGTCAGACTTCTTCACGGCATCACGCCCACACCGAACAACCCTTTCGTCAAGAGGTTCCCTCCTGTGCAGCTACACACGCAACCCTGGGCACTGCCAGGCCACCACACTTTCCCCCAAGCTTCGCAGGTTAATGGAAAATTGACCACTACCGCGCAGATCAGGCAGAGCGATCGCGACTCGGCTAATTTCTCGATGGCCAGCAGCGGAGACTCGGATACGTGTTTGCCTCATTAGACGTTGATCGTGTCTGCTAGATTCCAACCTCTTCGCTCTCGCTCCGCTCCCCGATACGTTCTCACGACGCCGTTCCCGTCGTCATTCTCGACGATCACGTTCCTAGGTCGCCTCGACGAAACGTTTCCCATCGAGACATTCGCGAGATTGTTCTCAGAAAAGAATCGTCGTTCTTCGCGAACGTACTTCGATGGGAACCTTCTTTCAAACGTGTTTTCTTCTCATCGAGGTTCGTGGAGAATTACCATCGTGGATTTTTACCCTATCACCGATATCAAAAGTAACGTTATTACATATCATACCGGTCGATTACTCACAACATCCGACACTTACGGTTACATTGTCTTATTTTCGATACAGATGTCGTATGTCGAGATAATATTCTGCCCCGTTCTTCCATATCAATTATCTCTCCATATGCACGTACCAGTAAGAAATCATACACTTGTAGATACACTTTTATGGTCTGCCCGTTTTTTCAGCCGGTACAACGACTCGTTCGAATATGAACGAACGACTCGCCATACAAACATATCTCGCCAGCTGCTCACGAATCACCGCTCGTCAATCGCTCGTCAATCACGAACCATTATAATCGCACGTGAGACTATTTCGATCGCCAGACTGGAAGGAGTGAAATTTTTTTACATTTTTTATTTTTCCATATAGCTTGGCGTGGTCATACACCGTTTCATCGCTTTATTGCAATAAATAGCCGACAAAGACACTCGTGAAAATAATTTACGACTGCTTAAAATAACTTATATATATATATATACTTATTATTACAAAAAAAAAAAAATGTTCTTTTATCATTATTCTGAAAGCTGAACGCGAAACTTGCATTTCAAACGGAAAATCTTCGCACGAGTTGTTTACCCTCGTGATATTCGAGACGGCACAATTTCGATCCCACGCGACGTAATAACGATACATCTAGACTAATACGATCAGCGAGTGAGCCCATCAGAGAGGACGTTGAGAAGCGTACGATTACTGCCATTGTAATAAACATAATCGCAAGACTTTCTAAGATCTTCGTTATATCGAATATATAAATTGATTTCATCGACTGCCATGTTAATTCGTCCTGTTTAACGCTTGCGCTACGGCAATTCTTTTCTATTTCCGCGATTTTAAAATGGCGAAAAACGCGGCGAGACCATAGGAAATGATCTCGCGTGGAGACGCGCCCAATTTCATAATTAAGTAAAGACTTAAGGACCCAGATGCACGACGCACGAGTGAACGATATATATATATATATAATCCAGATAGTCGAACGAATTCGAGTTCGAGCATCTATCGTTAATCCAAGTACTTATGATATCGATTAACCAAAACTGCAAGTACGGGTTTCCTAACTTTCGACGAAGAAAAAAAGAAAGAAAAGAAAAAAGAACCGACGCTTTTTTGAAACAACATAGAAAACGATCGAGATAATAATGTGTGTAACGTATATTAATCAGTGCTTATCTATTACGATACTACGAATACTCTACGATACAGGAAACTTACATACACCAGACGCGTGTAAGTGATAATACGTTGCAAGCGAAGCTATTGGGAAATTGTTGTTGACGCAAATTCGGCAAAACGAACGGTATTTTTCGATTTAGGATCGATCTTTGCAATCTCCGATCAAATACACCGATAGTAATAAACTAGTGGCAAGAGAGAGGTGTGGTACTGAGAGCGTGCCTTGCTTGTTCGACGAAGCATACGTATAATAGGACGCGCAAGCTTTCTTCTTTCTTTCCACTCGCTCGTTCGAGAAGGTTTCCTTTGACGTAAACGCGCAGCGTAGTCGGACGAGTTGCGTAAAATTTAGCTTTCCCAGGTAAATACGCTCTAGAAGAAAGATTGTTATTTTGAAATATCTTCCGATCGTTTTCGACGATATCGAGTCGGAAGAGGCGAGAAGAGTGCGCAGAACCGGTATATACGGTATTGTCGATAAATATCCGAACCACGGTGAATACCTTTCGTCCGAATTGCTAACACGCGTTCGTTCTGCGTATGTTTCACGCACTTATCGCGAAAGCGTAAAATCCGATTCCTAAGAATCTCACACGAGTCTCTCAGAAGCTGAATCGATGAACAACGACTTTCGAGAGAACGAATTATCTACCTTCGTAACTTCATTTTTCACGATAAGCTTTAGGATAATAAACTGGAAAAGATAAGGTTTATACCGACAGTTCGCATTTGAAGTTTACATACTTTTCGGTTTACGAGACTTGTCGAATATTCACGAGGACGATTAAGAATACCGATTTCGCCTGGTATCGCGTGTCGTATCGACATTAAGCTTTCTTCAAACCTCGTACATACCGTTGCGTACTCACACCTTTCTCGACTCGTTATTCGCAAACGTTAGTGTTAATATTTAGTTTACGTTCTGACACGCGAACAGAGCCAGTCGCTTTCGTCGAGCTTTCACTTTCGTGGATCGAAACGAGAGAACGAAGTTGCGAAAGACGGCTCTAATGGGCGACGCGTGAACTACTTTTTTATCGTATCACGGACGTTAACGAATCACGGAGCGTACGAACATACTCGAATAATTTTTCTATCACGGAACAAAATCAACGGAAGGGAATACCATCTAATAGATATTTTCTTACTCTTTCCACGAACGAGTTACGACTTCCGTACGTAGAGAGTAGAAACGGGAATGTAACGTATAGCCGAGTAGAAAAAGCCAGTAGTAGTCAGCCAGATCACCGTCGATGAGGTTATTCGAATTAATTACGCGTGCGTGCGAGTTTTTTGCGATGTTCGACGTACGTCTGGCCAGAAGGGATACAGCGAAGTCATAAATTACATTACGCGAGAACCTCTTCGATTTCGCAGCCTTCGTTCGCGATAATTTATCAGCTAACGATATTAGCGATCTCGCAAGCTGCAAATCGTAGATCGTACGTAGATAACATCCCTTTCACGATTTTACGCGAAACAGACATAATTAGATAACAGGATTTGCGATTTGTAAAATTCGCTTGTAGAATTTTACGTTTACTCGAATCTGAAACTCTCGATTGATTTTACGCTACGGCTTCGTTATATCTTTTTTGTCAAACGTTACTTTGCAAATGTGTAGCACGTATCTATTCGAGCCTCGAAATCCTTGGTTATCTGGACGGACGTTAGACAGAAAATTCCTCTAATTTTTATACCTCGATAGGATCGAATAGATGAACGGTTTTTGCGAGTAAATTAGAAGATATCAGTCTATTCTTCTAGGATCAACGAAACGTCGAAATGGTTGCAGTCAAAGCTTTATGGTACCGACAGAAAAAGCAATCTTAAATAATCCGCGGATGGTTGGTTTCTATGCGATAAATCTTCATTTTCTAAAGCATACGATCGATCGGAATGCAAACGACGGCTAAAGAGCGGCACGATTCTTCGACATCGCGATCGATTTGTAAAACGATAAAGCTTTCACTGTACTTGTATATTTTTTCAAACGACTTTCAATGCGCATAGGTTACACACATTCTCTTGAACGCCAATTACGGTATCGACTTTTATACGAGACTTGCTTTCGTCTTCGTTCGAAGCTAAAGATCGTCAACAACGCGACTTAGAGATAAAAGAAGAAGAGAACACGACGACAGAGAATCGAGGTCGAAGCGAACGAGCATGTTTTTATCATCATCGACATACGGAGGTAAATCCCTGAGATCTTTTCGTAAAAAGAAGGAAAAATACAAAAAAAAAAAAAAAATAGAGAAAAAAAAGAAATAAACGCTTTGTTACACCGATCGTACATATCACAGTGAAAGGACCACGCGTTGGTAACGACGAGACGTGTAAAATCTTTCGATTCGCTACGCATTTCTAGATCGCCATCGATCAACGATCAGAAGAAGGAAATTTCAACTTCCGTAACGTCTTTTCTTCTCGACTTTTTAATATCGGGCCGATCCGTTCATTCGAAAACGATCGAGTTCGCGTTCGCATCGTATTAATCGAAATAAAAATACATCATGCTAAGAACGACGACGGACTCGCGTTGTCACGATCGAGAATTACCGTTGTCATTGTCATCGTTGTCGTCATTATCGTTTCCATCGTTGTTATCAGCAGCAGCAAGAATATCGAGAGCAAAGAGCAGCCGAACGTACCTTGGAGAATGGCGAAAAGGCTCCGATCTGATACGGACGCTGCTGTTTGCAGAAATATTTTTTTACCGTTTAGCGTCAGTCAGCCACCTCATCTGTTCGTTTTAGATCCGGCTAGACCTCTCGAACGCGGATACCTGCACGAAACGGATCGATTCCGCGTTCCACGTGCTACCCACACCCCAAAAGAACGTTAAAGACGAAAAGGAAAAGAAAGAAACGTAGTTTCGGGGCAATTTCCGAGCTTTCCCGCGAGAATTGTATCCGAAGCGCGCTTAACGGCACAACGCATAGAGAGTAGTAAACGAGAAGGAAAAAGGAAAAAGAGGGAAAAAAGAAAAGAGAGAAAACTAGAGACAGGGGAAGAAAAAGGTTGCGTATTTGTTGCGCGTACGAATTTCCGTGCCTATGTCTGTGCGCGCACGTTCAATTCGTTCGCCCTCGAACTAATTCCTTTCGAAGCTGTAAATAACTAAGGATCGAGTCAAACTTGCGGGTGAAACGAGAGAAAGGCGCGAGAATGAACGACGAAGGGGAAGAATTAATGCAACAAAAAAAAAAAAAGGGAAGAAAAGAGAAAAAAATTTAACAGATATGTACGAATAATTGTATAAAGACTGATTAGAGTTATCTTGGTATTTATTCTAATTCACAGTTAAACGCTATCGCTTTGCGCGCTCTCGAATACTCACGGAGCACGACACCAAAAGTATTCCCTGGCTCAGATTCCATTTTTCTCTTGTTCTTTGACATCTGTCTGCGATTACTCGGTCGCGTTTCCCGTTTCCATTCGTTCTTCCATTTGGCATTTCGCGCGCGAATCGCCACGAAACGTCGAGTCCTATTAATCGCCAAACAAATCACAGCGGTGCTCGCTTAAATTTCAATAAACTAGGATTTTGTATCGCGATTCTCGCGCAAGCAGCGGCAACTTTGTTCTACGAATACCGTCGAGACGAGCGAATAGAATTTCGCTGTCGTTGTCGATACGCGCGATTTCCATTTTTAGTCGCATATCGAAACTTTCCTTAAAACGTTCCACGTCTTATCGCTTGTCGAGACAAGAGTGAGATTTGCACGATGATATTTGCGGAACCACGGCAGAGTTAAGCGAGCATTACTGGACCAGCAGCAACCACGAAACGCCGATCGATCGTTCGATGGATCGATCGAACGATTCTTGGTTTTCGTGTCTAATGATAATTTCGTGATAATTTGATGCTCTGTTTGAAAATAGAACGGGTCATATACTCGTATCGGCCTATGAAACATTTTTTCGTCGTACAGACTGGAGAACGCGAAAAGCGAAACGGAAAAATGAAGAGAAAGGATAGAAGGAATAAGGGGAAACGAAAATCAACGATCGACGATCACGATCCGCGGTATTTCGATGATTTTTGTTTCGTATCGTTAACGCGTAATTCATCCGTATTCAAGGGAAGAGCCATCGGATTATACAAAACGCGTGCGAACAGAGCAAAGAGAAAAAGAAAAATGGTACGCGCGATTATAACAGCGACGCTACTATCGTCACATCGTATCAATATTATCCGATGCATCGTATAAACAAGTAAACTAGATGTAAACTTTGTATATTCATTTACCAAGAGAATAAAGATAAATTATTCGACGTACATACACGGAGCGAGCCGTTTTATTCCCGAAAATTTTTGTCCATTTCCCCGTTTCGTTAACCACGCTGGTTTATAAACGAATAAATAAAGCAAATATTCTCCGTCCGGCCCTTTCCTCCGTTCCTTTCTCCACTATTCGCAAACGCGCACGAACATATCTATTACGAATGTCGTAAACGAGGAAACGTTCGATAATTGCGCTAAAATCGAGAGTCAATTTATGCAAATTACAAATGCGAAAGAGACGGAGACACCGAGAGTCGAAGCGTTCGACTAGACTAACCGAGACTTTTAACTCGAAGCTCAAAATTCTCCGGTTTTCACTCGCGATCAACGAAACTTTTGCCAATACGTTTGTTACATTTTTCTAGTTAAAACGAAACTAAACGCGTTACGATTTGGGGCGTATTCGCTTAACGAAACGACGATTAAATACATATCGGTAATCGAGTATAATTTAATTTACATCGTGTTTGTGGTCTCGTCTTAATCGGAAAGATCTCGTTAGTAGGCGCTCGATGTTAAAAATTCGAAAAATAAAAAGAGTTTCGCTTTCCACGATTCCATCGTATTACGTTATCGGATCGCGGCGAGTCATCGAGCTTCGCGTTGCGTCGGGAAAACCTTCATCCCCCCGTAACGATCGTGCAATTATCGAACGTTTTCGTACGAATGTCCGCGGAACGACATGGTTCGTTGGTCTGTTTTATTTACAAGTTAATTTGTTCGTTCGTGAAATAATCGATTCGTTCGTGGACTAGTTTATTCGTTTATTCATTTATATTTCGTATTTGTGTTTATTTCTTTACGACATTGGTAAAACAGTTTGCTTACATAACGCCGTAATAAGCTATAACTAGATGTATTGACGGTTTAGGACTGTCTTGGAAATGTATTCTAACAACACGAGAAAAACGTTATATAACAGAGGGAGATCCGGTTCTGTTTCCGATTTCGATCGCGCGTGAACAATCCCCTTGGAAGGTGCACGATCGTTCCACATCGCATCGTCCCGTCGTATCGCTTTATCGATGTTTCACATCGCGCGCGATTTTTCTCGATTTTGTTCGTTGTTTAGAAGCGCGCAACATACTTTCTCAAACTGTCGATTCGATCGCGTCGAGAACACGTTCCACGCGTGTACAAACGCGTTACATAACGCGTATATCGTTCGTTGATCGTTCGCTTAATTCGAAGAAATTAAATCTACGCTTACAAATTATTACGATTTGCGTGCTAAGTTATCGCGTTTATCACGTTCTCTTCTGTTACGTACAGTATAAAATGCTAGGCGGTTTCTACGAGTCTTGTTAGGATCGCTACTCGTTTACGTAAGTAATTTATTGCGAATCGTCGCTCGATGTCACGATGAAACGACCCGCGCTCTCGTTCGCCTTTCTCGCTTTGTGTTTCCCATTCTTTAACGTATACCTACTACGCATACATACGAAATCGTTGGAGCGCGAGGGAAACGCGACTGGAAACGCGTCAAACTCGCACAGTGCGCTGTATCGCCGTTAAATCGAACGAACGTTTGTCGTGTCGCAACCTTATCGCAAACTGAACATTTTTCGGATGTTCCCTCTTGTCAATGGCAGGTACACGGACGTATTGACTCGACGAAGACCAGAAATATCACGCGCACAGGAAGAAGAAGAAGAAGAAGAAGAAGAAGAAGAAGAAGAAGAAGAAGAAGAAGAAGAAGAAGAAGAAGAAGAAGAAGAAGAAGAAGAAGAAGAAGAAGAAGAAGAAGAAGAAGAAGAAGAAGAAGAAGAAGAAGAAGAAGAAGAAGAAGAAGAAGAAGAAGAAGAAGAAGAAGAAGAAGAAGAAGAAGAAGAAGAAGAAGAAGAAGAAGAAGAAGAAGAAGAAGAAGAAGAAGAAGAAGAAGAAGAAGAAGAAGAAGAAGAAGAAGAAGAAGAAGAAGAAGAAGAAGAAGAAGAAGAAGAAGAAGAAGAAGAAGAAGAAGAAGAAGAAGAAGAAGAAGAAGAAGAAGAAGAAGAAGAAGAAGAAGAAGAAGAAGAAGAAGAAGAAGAAGAAGAAGAAGAAGAAGAAGAAGAAGAAGAAGAAGAAGAAGAAGAAGAAGAAGAAGAAGAAGAAGAAGAAGAAGAAGAAGAAGAAGAAGAAGAAGAAGAAGAAGAAGAAGAAGAAGAAGAAGGAGGAGGAGGAGAAGAAGAAGAAGAAGAAACTATATATTTGAAATCAACTAATCCTGTTAATTAAGCTAGGCGCATAATATACGTATACTTGCATATAGTATGTGCCAAATATAGAGAGTCTGTATACATATATTTATATATATATATATATTGTATATATATTATCTGTATATGTATATTCTTATATACGTATATCTATAGGTATGCGTATATGTATGTATGCGTATGCATATTACTCGACGATATAAAATCTACATTCACAACAGTTAACAATGAATCATCGACGGGTCGATATCTATATCGATAAACAACGAGTCTCCTTGTTCGTGTTACTTAAACTTTTGAATCGGATAGAGATACCTTCGAAACAGATTTTTCGTTGGTCCGTTGTTCGAAAATTGGTGAACGAGACAGAGAGGGGCGAAGGACGGGTAAATAGGTCCGATCAAAACGTACGTAAAACGTCTAATTTTAAGCCGTATCGAATATATTGACTTGAACGTACGAGCTACGCCTATTTTAAGGGCACCGGAGAATTGATCCAAGTTACGCTAAACTATCTAACGATATACACCTACGATAACGCTACTAATTGATCTTCATTGACTAGAACCACACCAATTTTCGAACGTTGTTGCACGAATGACGAATACGTTACTCGGCTACGAAACACGTAGGCGAATTCACAGAGTCGACGATCGGGAGAAAAATAAAATTCTACAGAGCCAAACCTTCGTCAACGAGAGAAGGCCGAACCACGTTTTACACCCATTCCCATCTTAGTCGTTCACCTAGCGAGTCCTTTTTTTTTTCGTTTCTCGGTGCACGTCGCGCAAGTCGTCGATCCGACTTAATCCCATTTGGTCGAAACGACGCCAACGTAATTTTCTAACGAATCATCGCTGCTTCTTCGCGCGCCTCGCTTCGCGAAGCTGCATCCGATAATTACGCTTCGACCAATTGAACGCGTTTCCAACGCGTATTCGTATGCGTCGGAACGCACCGTCTCTTGCTTCGCATCGATCGATCGAACGCTCGTTAAATGCCGCGGTTGGCTTCGTTGAAGTTGAATTACACGCACGCACACGAATGTATATATACTCTATATGGAGGTGTAATTTGAGTTCAATTCGATCGATCGATCGAGCGAACGAGCGAGCATACTATATATCTGACGATATCGCTAATAGTTAATATCAACGTGTATCCGCCTGAAGCGCTAACAATATAACAAATAATGGTAGTGAACAAACACGTAGAACGTTCGATAATCATATAAATCTAAGCTTTCGTACGTATCGTATATACTTTTCTTTATGTATACTACGTACTGTGCATATACATATACATATACAGTGCGTAATATACAGTTTGTAGATGTATGTATTGCTACAGCTATATATGTATAATGCGTAATCGTACATATCTATATACGCACGCATACGATATATGTACGTGTGTATACGTACATGTACTTACGTAATGGAGCACGCATGCATATAACACACGCGTTCGGTTTACGTTAAAACGCCTGCGCGATCTTTGCGATCTGTCATCGGACCGAGTACCGATTCAAACGCAACTGTGCTCGTGACACATTACGAATTACGTTTGCATTGTATTTGCTTTTGGAACAGGCGAATGCACGCATACGGTACGATGTACGATGCACGATGTACGAAGAAGCGCTGATCAACGTAGACAGACAAATACAATAAATACTTAGGCTGTTGGCGGATCGCGGTTTGCTCTTTGTTTGGAATTCACCGCCGGCCCGCTTTCCGCTTAGCGACTACATAGAATATCGTACGTGTAATAGTCTAGAAACGTTGATCGATCGTCTTTGCAAAATGGCCAGGCAACAGACAGATCGAAAGGTATGGGAAAACGGAAGAATACCGAACGCTATCCTTTTACACGCTGATCTCAAGGATCGCGCAGAGTAACGTTGTAGATACTTTCATCGGATAAGGCTGCATTAATTATTGTCTCTTTTGTTATCTCGTCTCGTACTCGTCGAAAGTGTACCCTTCTATCTCTTTCACCTTCTTCCGTCAACTTCGTTTCTACCTTTTGACTCGCCTCCACTGATCCACGTGGGTCCTACGTAATCCCTTTGATCGATGCGTACGATTTGTCCGAAACGAAGCTTTTAATTTCTCCTTTGCAAGCAATCGTACTTTTACGCGAGTACGCGAACGGCGTTCGATCATTCGCTCGACTCGTTGAAAGCGCTCGCCTCTCCCTCGCCCACGGTCTAATTCGTCCGATAAACTCGAACTTCGCGACTGGTTGCATCGTCTTTCGTCGTTTCATATTCGTTCAGGACGTTAGAAAGTGAAAGAAAAACAGAGATAATAGTGCGGAAAGGAACGCGCCAGAAACAACGTATTTGAGAGCACGTAACAAGCCTGTCGGTAAAAAGGTCGATAAAAAGACCGGTAGATAGTGAGGACGAATGGTGTCGATCGTCAGCGAGGAAAACAACGGTGCGTCGTAAATCTCGATTCGGACGTGGCTAGTTTGGCCGACGTTTATCGATTTCCTCTGGAAGAAAGCAAGCTTCTCGGCTGCCGCTGCATCGCGTCTGACTATTAAACGTTGATTCTACTTCTCTGATCGATAAAGCGCTTCGTAGTAGCGGCTCGACCCGCAGTTACACGCGAACAGAGAGATATTTCGTAAAAGACGGATTAAAAGGTACTTTCGTGATTTCGAAAAAACGCGTTAGGCCACAGGCAAACGATCGTTCAAGAGAGGGAAAGAAATATCGAAGTAAATTCTTTCGCAACATTTTTCATCTATCGATACGCTAAATTCGCTGTTATCGACGCTCTGATTAGAAAATATCTATCAAAAAACGTTAGGTTGTTGGAAAATTAACTTTTCCGCGGATAGAACCGTTTGAAAACACTGACGTACGCACACGCATACACGCGTATACTTGCATAGAAAACGTATATGTGCGCGATAAGAAGAAGGGAACGATTATCTCGATAGCAAAATAATTATTCTCGCGTGTGCACTATATCGCTTGTCGAGGAAGAAAAACGGCAATATGAATCAACGAATTAACGAACCAACGAACGCACGGACGGACGAATCATCGTACAAGAAGAAATTGACTGGATGCCGATTGCGAGAAACGTTTAAAAACGTAAGAAAGAAGCGAAAGTGCAGCAGCTTTCGATTAGAAATTTCGGTGGAAGTACGACAAGTAGAGCAGTAAGAGTCGAACGAGGAAACAGAGTAGGTTTGAAAGAGCAAAGAGGCACGAAAGATAAAAACGATATTCGATTAACGAAAACGACTGTCTAGAGTCTTCGGACTGTGGCGTCTCGCGCGTCTACGATTCGAAAGTAAGCGCGACGAGTTAATACGATCGATCCACCAGTTCTATTCCGCTACCGATTCTAGATTGCATAATACTTAACAACGTCGTCGTTTGCGTTTTAATACTGATGAGTGTATTGTCCGTTTGACTGACCCCAAACTTACGAACAACGATAGAGCTTGTTTTCGTTGCGTTTTCCATTTGCTTCCGAAAGAAAGCTCGATCGATATCGTACGAATAACAAGTGGAAGCAAAGTGAAACACCGAGAATCGTCGATGTTTCGATGGAAGGAAAATTCACGCGACGTGAGAATAGAACTCGAATTTGTGCTCGAGAGGTGACGCTACAAATCATCTAACGCGTTATTGTACAAATAGATCTTAAGACGAGCGCATTTGAAATATATTCTTTAATTCCAGTGCGAGCTGGAATCTTGTCACCTTTTTTCTCATTCCTCTGCCATTCTTCCTCACTTTTGCTTGAAATTTCAATTCACGTAGAAATTAGAATAGGGCTGGAAGCTAAGATAAGAGAAGAAGAAGGAAGAAGAAGAGAAGAAGAAGAAGGGGAAACGGAAAAGAAAGAAGAAGAAGAAGAAGAACGAAAAGGAACGAGAAGAAACGAGACGGAGGATGGAAGAATGAAACGAAAATATTATAAAAGAGTTTTCGAACTATCTTCCATCGTGCTTTAGCAGCCTGATACTTACACGATGCAATGAGATCGAGTTCGACGAGAACATTTTCATCGAGCATTCAGTCGGTTGCTTACACACGCACTCTTTCTCTCTCTCTCTCTCTCTCTCTCTCTCTCTCTCTCCCTCCCTCGCTTTCACTGCTCCTCCTTTTCCACTTTTTCCATTATATTTCATTTTCCTCGTCAGTCTGTATACGATTAAGTGGCGTTCGTTTAAAATGCGCTGAAGCAAACCGGAGGATTCATTTCACCAAAGACATTTAGTTCGTAGAGCGAGGCAAATGTGATGAATACCAAGTACCAAACCATCAATATCGCTCCGTACCGTCGATCCAGCTTCCAGCCGTTCAAATGGGTCGCCAGGACTAAGAACACCACCGTTGACAGCAGAGACACCGTCGAGTACGTCAGACCTGGCAGTGCGACAATAAAACAACGGGAATTTGAATTTCGTTTGGCAACCTCTAGACTGCGAACGTTTATGCATTTATGGAAAATTGAAATGCACGAAAGTTCCCAGACACGCGCATTCGCAGTCTAGCAAGCGTATGCGACAAAGACTCGTATAAGGGAAATCGCACGATTTTACCTCGACTAGTGACGTTCACGTGCGAGCCGGGTTGTATCATCGCAGTTTGTATAAACCATGGAAGCCCGAGGCAAACAAGTATATCAAAGACGTTACTGCCGACAGCGTTGCTCACGGCCATGTCGCCAAGGCCTTCTTTTATCACGGCTAACGACGAGAGCGCGTCGGGCACACTGACACCGGCAGCGACGAACGTCAAACCCATCACCGTGTCTGGTATGCCAAGAGTGCTACCTACGAAACATTGAATTTGCCGTTGAAGAATAGTGGACGTCGGAAAAAGATTACTTAAACTATATTTGTATCGTTGTGCTTTTCAAGATCGCCGCCATCGCTGCTGTTTCTTACCTATAATCGTAATCATCCACACCATGAAGTAACTGTAGAAACTGATCCAAACCATCGACACGCAGAAGGTAAAGGGATACCAATTCCTAAATTTGTCTTGTCGGCAATCCGGCATTGTGGCGCGGCACATGAAATGAATCGGATAGACGAGACCCCAGGTGAACAGAGACCATTTGCTACCGTCGGTGGGCTTCTCTAACGGCGATACCTCGTTCGGATCTGGTTCTTTCGCTTTGTAATAGCTCGGTTGTTTCGGTGGTGCCGATTCGTTCGTTTCAGGAACGTTTCCTCCTGCCACTGCTCCTGCAGTTACACCTGCGTAGCCAAGCGATCTTCTGTGTAATATTTTCTACTTTACGGAATTTCATTTTTGCGCAATAATTTTCATACACTCCCGTCCATGAGTATTCGGACACTTACGTAGTTAGGCATTTCCCATAAATATCTTCGGTTTCTTTTATGGATTTATCGCATTGTCCTACGATCTTCGTGTTATTTTTGGAGAATATTTTATATAGAGATAGGTTGGCGAAGACGTACACGCAGTATTTTCTTATCCGCTACAAGATGCGATAGGAAAGATACACGTTTCGTACACAGAAAACGGAGATGACATTGAGAAAATTAAAGAAGGAACGAGCGAACAAAAATCTTCCTTTTCCATGATATTCCATTTTTGGAAATCGTTTAAGTCGAGACGTTAAAAGCGAAGCAGACGTTTAGGTTGGAACAGCTTATACAGTATCGATATGGAGATATCAAGATGATAAAATAAAAGATTTCGGATGATTTTGTCTTCCGTCTTTGGATAGATATCGATCACCGATGATCGATAAACATGACAGTACGATAAACGATGCAGGCGTTCGAACGATTCGAGTCTACGTTCTAATTCGTTGCAGCATCGAGATCGTAGGTCAACACAATGAATTCATAAAAGTCGCCGGATGTGTACCGAAGGTGCGCACAATCTATTCTTTTTATAAAAACCAGAATAGATTAGAAATTCGTATTTCGTACGTGTTTGATAATCGGCGTTTACCTTCCTGCTTTTTATATTGATCCGTAGGCGAACTCGGCCCTGTGTAAGACAAGCGGTCCTCTTGTAACGATCTATAACTAACAAGAGCGCTCTCCTCCGCGGGTTCGTCGTCTTTTGGTAGAAAAGGTATATTGTAAGATTTCGCCCAACGTTCCAGTCTAGCGTTGTAAGATAAAGCGACGCAGTACACGCCGTACATGAACAACATGAACAGAGATTCCATCCTGCGAAAGACACGTTTCTTTTTTGTACATGATAAAAATCGACGATACGACATCCATGCGACGATGGTACAGTCACGAAAGTCTTCGTTCACCGTGGAAGAAGGTAATTTTTATTAAAATAAAATGCTACGCGAAAGTTGGCTACAATGATAGCGTATTTCGTATGAACGCGATTCTTTCGTTAAACGTATATGCTTTATGTAAATGAAACGGCCTCTTCGTAAGATATACAAAGACTTTTAGGGATGACTGTGTCGTAACAGGAATAAGCTCGATAACAAGCTGTCTCTTACCAAGATATCGATTCGTTGTAAATTGTACCCAGCATCACCAGAATCGATACAGCGTAGAAAAAACAATCCCGGCAGAGGGGCCACCAATTCAACTTTGACACTGTCGACGTACACAGTCCACATACCGATATCACGAACATTATATTGAACACCGCACTTCCGATTACACCGCTTACCTGCAATCCCAACAGCAACTCTCTGTAATCTGCATAATATTCCCCACTAAATTCCTTTCGAGTCCCCTCTAACCAAACTTAATTACGCGCGCGCGTATTTGCTCGATGTGGATTTTTGGCCAAAACGATAAGTTCTCGTATACTTACTCCGATATCATCCTTGGCAAAGAACACACCGATCACCACGGTTGCCAATTCCGGAGCTGAAGAACCGGCAGCCATAAAAGTCGCTCCAGCAACGTCCGGAGACAATCGCAGTTCTACGCAAAGAAAACCAAGACTTTTGTCAATATTCTCGCAAATTTAGCGGTAGAAGAACTTCCTATAATTTGTGTAACTTTTATCAAAATCACGCTTCTTCGATGCATCGTAAGTCTCACGGTTCTATTACTATTTTTGTAATACAATTTTGATCCTCCATAAAAATAGAATTTCTCCTTATATCTTCGATATCGTAAAATTAGTTATCCAAAGATTCTGCTGTATTAGATATAGATGAAAATATACACGAGAAATCTTTCTGTATGAGCAGCATCCTGCTGAAAACGTGCAAACGCATAGGTCTGACACGTGAGTGAAATTCTACTTTAAAACTTTCGTTACCTTCGCAAATTCGATCCAAACTGGAGACGAAGTAATCGTCGCAAACAATGGCAAGGCCCAGGAAGGTGTAAATTGCAACTAAAATATGAATGATCAATCCACCGTGTTTTCTAGCCGAGGGACCCATTAATGGTCGTGGAAATTGTTCGATCGCAGGTGGCGAGCAATCTTTCCTTCGCGGTCTCCACGTTGCATGTTCGTACTTCATAGTGGTCGTTGTTGGAACCTAGAGTCTCGAATAACCAATATCTCTTATATGCGTTATAGTGGAATTCAAACGATTTACAGTCGCGTTCCTCGCGTTTAAAAGAACACCGCGATAGAAAAGAGAATTCGATGATAAAAATCGTGACTCACCGTTGTGGTTCCAGGGACATTCGCTGTCGCCACTTCCTTTTTCGGAGCAGTTTTCTCTGCTGGAGAAGCTTTCTCTGTCGAAGCGGCGTTCCGTTCCTTCGAATGTTCACCGAGCTTCGATTTTTCTTCTTCCGGTGTCTTCTTTCCATGTTTCTGCTGGCCCTCGTTCTTTTCTTCCGTTCTGTTCTTTTCGTTCTTCGGTTCGGTCCTTTCGTTCTTTTCTTTCTCCGAAACAGCCTCTTCCTTTGCTTTCGGTTTTGGTTCGACGCTGGCCTCTGTCTCGGGCGTGAACGATTCCGAGGTAGAATCTAACGTCCAGTTTTCTTCGCGGTCCGTGGAACTGGGATAAGGAGACGTTACCTCTTCAGGTATTTTTGCACAAGTGACGTACTGGACTAATATATACACGAGGAAAAGGCCGAATCGCAGAGACCACCTTCTGCGTCGCGAAATACTTTCCAAGTGAATTCGCCTCATTGTCTTCGACTGAAACATATTTAACGTACAATTATCATCGGTACATGCATACAGCTTCTTTCATATTTAAACGCGCGGTGAATAGACCACAAATGTTTCTGCAAATTCTCGTTTTACGTAACTCAATTGGAAACTCAGCAGACATTTGTTTCATCCGGTAATACAACAGATCCTGTGCGAAATACGCCATCAATTTTGTTTTTTACCGCTATATGAATCACGTTGTTCAACTTTGACGCGATGTACGTAATAGTTCACGTTTTCTTCGTCTTACAAACGTCTCGTCCCTTAACGGGTCGAACGACCCGTATCAAACGAAACATGCGAAGGATTAGACTCTTTTTATCTCGATATAGTCGTATCGATCGTGGAAAATATATTGATTCGCAACGCGTACACGCATGTAATACATGTTGCCAGACGTGTCGGTAACAGCCTTACGAATGAACAAAGTAAACAGAATAAGTTTTAATATCGTACGAGGATAATCCCGGTTTTCGTTCAAATATTTATGCTCGTTACGAAATGAAAATTAAACGAAGAGAAAGCGATTGCCCACAGTTACACTATAATTCTTTGCTGCAAGCGAGAAAGCAGCGATACGATAGAATACAGAAATTAATTAAAAGTTCTGTTCACAACTCGACAAACAACTCTAACTGTAACGATTAAAATTTATCGTATTGTTTTCTTCTGTTTTTTCTATTCTTGTTTTACCTTGTTATTATCGCAAAAAGTTCTTCGTTCTTTGTATAATGCGACTGAGTCATTTATAGCCACGTGTATCGCCATTATACGCAAATGTGGAAAGCCGTAGTCAAACAAAAACTCGACGATCTAAACTTTTGCTTTGAAACGTTTTTTCCTTTTCAAGGTGTTTCGACTTCCTCTTTCGTCGTTCTATTTGATATCTATTTTTACAGCTAACGATCGAAAATCAATACCAACGAACGACAAATACAATTTTTCGAATTAGGCAATTACATCCACTCTCTCTCTCTCTCTCTCTTTGTTTCATTTCGAAGAGCCAGGCGACGAACGCGTACGAAAGGATTTACGTTAATAATTTATCAACCCATCGAGGAAATAAATACTTAAACGATACTGATAATTCCATATGAATGCCTACATGCGTGTAGTATGTGTGTTGCGAAGGAAATACGATTAGAGAAACCACAAAATTACGCGTTAAGTTATGAACAGACACCAACGGCTCGATTTACGGCAAAGATCAAATACGCGTCTTTTAATGACGAACGAACCAAACGATAGGATTTCTGAAAAAAATAATTCTGAGCAAACGCGCATACGTATTTCGTAATGGGAACGATTCAACGATACAGTGGATTTCTATTCGGCAAAACTATTCCCGGTGGTGGAAGTTCCGAGACTTTATTTACCGCAATTAACACGTAGTAATATAAAAGCACGAGGAAAACCGAGGTGTCAGTGAAAGTGACCCAATTCGGTGTTTCCAACGATCGTTAAACGGTGGGTTTACGAATCGACGTATGTATGGTAGCTCGTAGTTCGGCTTACCCCTTTCTCAGAAACGTTGCACATTATGCACCAGCGAATTCGACGTGACCAACTTCTTTTACGTGCCTCACGAAACACGTACGCAGCAGCGATTATTGGCACGCGAAAGGCGAATCAACGGTGCAAGCGACCAAAGGCACTCTTACGCTTTCCTCCACACTCAGCCGACGTCTGCCGAACGCTTCTACCACGATAGAAACTCGTTATCGAGTGTCGGGCGCTCGCTGCCGTCGACGCGACGCGACGTCGCCCTTGTCGTCACTGTTATTCGGCAACAACAACGTTCGATATTTCTAGGAAATAAAGGCAAAGCTTTATTGCTGCGTCGTACTCGAATTATTGATTTGCATAAAAACTGTCGGTTACGATGCGTTCTCGGCGTGTTTGCGCTGTACGTAGGCGTCGTCTTCTTGGCTACGTAGGTGTCGTGCTTACTGAACCACCCTCCGGTTAATACGATCTCCTTTCATCGACGTCACGGCCATCCTCGTGCCGTGAAAAAAGTATCTTCGCAAGATCCCTTTCACGGTGCTTTCACATCCCTTGTTATCCCTATCTCTCTCTCTCTCTCTCTTTTTCCCTCTCTCCCTCTCTCTGTCTTTTCTATTCACCTCCTATACCCGATTTTTATTTTTCTGCCAGTTTTCTCGTTTATTTCACGTTTGTTTTTATTTCCTCCGAGTCTTGCAGTTTGACCGCACACTTTCAACGTGCACGTATGTCTGTATGCGTGTAACAGGTCACCTTTAAACGCAGATACCAGCTTTTAACGATCTCTGCTAGCACATAGCCATGCAACGTTTATCGTTTACCGGTCGATTCTGGTCGCCTGTTTCGCTGCGTTTATGCGCTGCTCGCCAATGAAGCCTCCTTTCGCATTTCTTCTCCTCGCATATCACCATCAACGCCGCCACTATCATCCCCCCTTTGCGACTGCCTCTATCCTCTTCCCCTTTTGCTACCTATATCTATGTGTTTCACCTGCATGAGCGCACGCGCTCACGAGTACGCGAGAACCACCCTCCTACTTATCCTACTAAAGCGCGCACACATCCGTCGTATCTCTTTTTCTGTTAATCCCAACCCTCTGATATCAAGTTACGCACGCGCAATCGCATTGTCACAATTCAGCTTATCGTGAACCGCAAGAATGAAAACTGAATGAAGTAATGGCCATTGATCGGTGAATTACGGATTCTTATGCATCCTTGGAATTGGACATATAGATAATTATATATAGATGTAAAATGTCCAAAGTAGAGTACTCGGTACGAGCTTGAGTTCTACTTTTGTAGTTGTTAATAACATACGAATTTGGATAAATACCCATAGTCGATCAAAGATGAAAGAACGCTCGATATGTAGTTTTATATTTTAGTAATCGCAATTGGAAAAATGTAAACCTAAATAGACATTTTTCTATCCAATAGATGTTATAACGAGCGCTTTACTTTAGTTATTTATGTATTCTTGTATATTAACTTTAATTTTCCATAAATGCAGGAATAGATCATCCGTAATGCAGCGATAAAGACTAGGAAATATGAGGATAGTACACGAGTATCGAAAATAGAATAGAAAAAGGGGTATATACGAGGATAAAAATATCGAAATGAGAGGGTGAGAAGCGATAGGAGTGGCAACGTGGACAGTCCATCCGTTGCTTCCTTTCTATTCGCGGTCGTTCGTTGCACCTGCAACGCTTTAAGGTCGTTCATTCGTTCGCTTTCGATTGTGGAAGATAAAAATAGTTTCTTGCCTATAGTTGCCTATAGCTTGTTGAACTTGTATGTGATAGGATCGTTAGATTACATATGATCTAAATCATACGACGTCGTTAGGAATAAATGCTAAAGACACCAATAGGATCTGCCTCGCAATCTGTCTGCTGGTCTTTCGATTTTTCATAAACTTCTTTTATTCTCTTGCGAACAAAAGTTCTCAGTAATATTTATTAGACCATTCTACTATCGATCGAAACATTAACTGCAGTAGATGCCAAGGAAACTCTGAATCAACAATGCAACAAACGACATGCAACTGTAAATAAAATTGGTGTATGAAAAAATCTGACGAGTACATCCGACGAGTACATCTGACAAATGATTATTTTACTTCGTGACGAACTTACAAACGTATACTTACCATTTATAATGAATAAATCTTGTGCCGTAATCGGTAATCGGTCAGGCATCGTACGTTTTCAAACGAATTTTATCAAGACGTTGATCGGTAGCGAAAGAAGCTAACTTCGTATCGTGATAAAATCGAACAACGAGATTTTACGATTTTACATTTTTTATATATATAATCTTCAGTATTTTAATATATCTTTCTAAATATCATAACGTTTATGTATTTATTACAACAAGCACACAGCATCCGAGCAGAATTTACATAAGGTACGTATAAATATTCCGTGACACGCTTCCAAAATCAATTTTTATGCGGCGGTTGATGTATTAACTAGGATTTTGATGGAACTTGACAGAATAACCACCGCTATTAGGATCCTTTTGCAGTTCGAAATTATTCGTAGAAAGACCAAAAGGTTTTAGTACCATATTTCCCAAATCCTTCAGTTTCCCTAGCATTTCTTCTTTCAGTTTTTCATTTCTTTCGTTGATCAATGGAGGTAATCTCTGGTAAAACATTTAAAGCATTAACACCTAAGTACAATGGAAATAAAGAAGATATAATTTGGTGATTACCCGAGTGGCATGATTTGCCTCTACGTGACCGGAATCAAGCGTTAGAATTTTTTTGAAGTCTTCCAGAGCCTCGTCTAGTTTCTCCGTTTCTTCGTATAGTTTGGCTCTTCTAGCGTATGCTTTCACGTAGTTTGGATTTAATTCTATGGCCTTTGTACAGTCGGATATCGCAGATTCTCTATCCTGCTTAAAAAACGTTGTAAGTAGATTTTACTGAAAAGATCATTAGATCTTTCAAACATTTACGACGATATTCTTTAAATAACATCGTTACCAGACATATTAACTTTGCAGCAGCCCTGTTGGCGTACAGAATGGATCTCTCTTTGCTATAAGCCAACGGACAAGTTCGCAATCCTTGCGTGTACATAGATATTGCCTCTTGATATTCTTCGCTCTTAAAAAGATCATTTCCTTTATCTTTATATTTCTCTGCTTCTGCTTTAAGGATCTGAAAAAGAAACATACATCGGTAGATATAATATACGATGATTACTTATATAATTCTGTAAAAGCCATAAACTTTGTAAGCAACTACAAACTTCTTTTTCATCTTCAGAGAGGGTTAGTTCTCTATCTTTCAACGACTCTTCGTCTATATAGTCTTGCGGAAAATTAGTGTCGCCTTTGGCCCCTGTTTCACATTCGTCAGCATTGTCATTGATTATTCCCACGCGTTCGGAACAAGCTCCCGAGGAATTGCCATTTTTTTCAGTCGAATCTTTGATATTGTCGTTCGACGCGGGATTGTTATTTGCTCTGATACAAGAACTTTCTAGATCTTTCGTGAGTTCCTCTATGATCTGTTCGTTCATTTTCGAATTTTCCGATTTATCGCCCATCGCGTAATTGTTTCTTACCTTGCAATGATTTAAAACCTAATCTAAACGTTTATACCTAGGAATCGTAAAGGTTAACTAAAGCATCGCAAGCAGACGACTTAACTTGTCATTGTTAACTTCGACGCGTTTGCAGATGGCACTAACGTTTCTTCGTAGTTCGCAAGTCAATCGTTAGAGTGCATCCTACGACGCGCTTCGTAAATAGTATTTCAAAGGCGCTTGTGGCGGAAAATTTATACGCAAGTATCATTATTATATTAATTTCGTACATTTATTCATCATAGCTATCGCTTGGATCTATAATAAAATTTAAGTTTATTACGATACTCTAAACGTTGTTCTATGGAGTATTTCTAATTATCAATATTATAATTGTCACGTCGTAATTTTATAGGTTAATGGTAAAAACTTATGTACATATATCGTATAAACGTCATACATTTTACATACATCGGTTTATCGCGAAATATTTCATGCTTCGTTACAAAATAGGCGTTATTCGCACGGAACAATAATTATTACGTTTCATAGCAGTGCGATTTACGTTTCGTGCACGTTTCAATATAATCTAGTATAAGTTTTATACAAACGAGGATAAATTATTGTTTATACGTGTATAGAATTACTAATGAAGGGAAACTATATCTCACTAGGTATGATCTGAATGAACCTACGAATATTATAACTACGTGCTCTGGCCTGATTAAACTTACCAGTTCGTATCAAGCGGAAGTAAACCATTTACCTATGCTCTGTGTTGTATGCAAGAAAAGGTGCATTGATATAAAAATTTAACGAACAATATTATCATTTTATTTTATTAATATTACGGTCAAATCATTGAACATTATCTCTGTTCAACTTTGATTCTTAACTTTTCTCCTCATTCACCTTCTCGTCTCTTATTTTCTTTATTCCATAGCTTACCTGTTATTACGTGAAAGAATATTACATTACATTGGGCGAAGAAGACTCCACTGTTAAAGTTCGCCGTCGATAAATTCGAGGAAATACGGAAGTCAAATACGTAAGTATAGTTAGCACAGTAGTGGCTTATGGTTCAATGAAAATCGATTTCATCAACCTCTCAACTTCCGTTTCGATAATAAACAGGATCTTGGGTGATAAGCTATGTTTCTAGTAGAAACGGGATAAATAAGGATTCTCGTCTACTGCAACCTGCGGCTTTTCTTCGTCATCAAGTGCACAATTTCTTCGACGAGAAGAGAAACGTCCTACATCGAGCGACTTTTCGTCCGTATAAATTTTACGTTGATTTGTCATCATTGGCGTGTGTCACAGCGTTGCATATGCAGCAATAAAAATATCCTTTTGAAAAAAGTAACGTCACCAGCTTAAAAACTGACGCAACTCGATCAGCGCTACTTTCATAAATCAAGTTGTTGATTCAATTGTAAACACGTGTAATTCTATTTATTCAAGATCTATTTATTCAAGAGTGTTTTGTAAGCTTTCCTTTAATTTAGTTTTAAAATGTACAAACTGGTCGTATCCTCGGTCGTAGAAAAGTATCTCGTATGAAGAATCGCTTCGTGTTGTTTCATTCAGCTACAGTAAATGTTTCGTATAACGAACGTGGCGTTTCTTTTCGTCGACACGCCACTTTAATTAGAAAGATATTGCGCACGCATAACTTGTATATATGTGTATTGTCTTTCGTGCAAGGTTTCATGCGAAAAAAGAGAATAAATTCTCGACAAAGCAAAATGCGACATAACAGCGCAAATAAAAAATTCGAAACTATGCTATGAAAGAATTCATGAAACCACGAGCATTGGTCACAAGGGTGTATTTTTCTTCTTAGACGATGGTAACGGCGCGCGACCGTGCGCCATCGTGCTAGATCGACCGTGTAACTAATACCAGTTTCTTTTCTTATAAACTGCCGTACTAGCAAACGTTTTCAAGCAACTCCGTTAAACTACTAGAATTTTTACAATTTTTTTATCTTCGTTTTTTAATCGATTTTTTTCCAAAGATACGCGAGAAACGTTAGTAAAATGAATTACATACGCGCATTTTCATCTTTATCATTTTCTTGTAGTTCACAGATGGAAATCAACTCATCGTGGATAGTAATAGTAGCGTTACGTATTATCTTTCCATACAATCAATATGCAAAACTATCTGGATTTCTATTTTACGCTCAATAAATCCAATTTCGAAAAAAGGCCAAACACGAATTAAAAATACGATCAGTCGAATATATATATGTAATAATATACATATATATATATATATATACAATGTGATAATACAATGTAAATTTTCGTTTTGATTTATAGGCAAATTATTAGTTGGAAATAGGGTAGATAAGAGCAATTGATTAAAACTGTTTCAAACGTTTAAAGAGTATTAATGCGATATCTCTGTTCTGTGATTTGATCGACAACAAAAGCATCTGCTTGGACGCTTTTGCCTATCTATCTGCGAAACGAACATATTGTTCGTTTCACTTGAAAACATTATCTTTTCTCGATAACATAGATTTTGAAATATATTTTCTATATAGGGTGTCTGTTCAATTTCAGTACACTGAAATATCTTTTAAGGAATTGACGTTACGAAGAATATGTTGGTCAGTACGAAGAGAGACGTTATGCAATGCAAATATCTTTTTTGTATCTGCTATAGTCGGGATGAATTTCAAAGGCAATTTAATTTTTTCTTTAGATGGATCTATGTATTTTCTTACACACCATTCGATACATTTTTTAATTCCCAACGATAAAGAATTATGATATCTCGGTCGAGAAACGATTAGTTTCAGAGGTATTTTAGCTTTAATCTTGTAAAACTCATCGTACGAATGTAAAGGGAATATAAACGTCTTTCAAGAGTAAACGTTTTACAAGAGTAAAGATAAAATGTCTTTCAAATTACTAAATACTTCTCGACCCAAGTACCTTGATACGTTTTTGCAGATAGTTACAAAATGCATCGAATGTATGCAAGAAGATGTATAGGTCCGTTCAAAAAAATTAAATCGATTTTGAAATCTTCCACACTGTACGAATTACAAAAGAAATACTTACACCGCATAACGTCTCCCTCGGTAACAAGCGATTTTTGATGAAACACTTTTTTCGTAGTACCATTACCTTAAAAGATATTTCAGCGCATTCAGATAAAACAGACACCCGTACGTTTAGAGGCACATCACTTTTCATCTAAACGAAAACTGTTTCGAGAACAAATACTTGTTTTAATCATATCGTGGGTGGAATATTTTGAAATTTGAACCTTCCCATGAATATAAATGAATCGAAGGAAATTATGCCACGCACCTGTAACTTTCGAAACATTTGTTACAACTTGATATTAGCTACGTTAATCGTATGCAAATAGCCGCAAAATGATGCATTACCGTCTTGTTCTTCTGGAGCATCAACGATTTCATCGAACGATCTTGCCGATCGACGTTGCAAAATTATTCGAACACAATTCCTTGTTGTTCGTTTATTCGGTCGAACAAATGCACGGAATAAAAACCGAGAATTGTAATTTAGGAACGATAAAGGAAAACACTTACAAAACGTCGTTTCTTCGTCGAAAGAAGTTATTGTTGACGTCGAAGTTAACGAGAGCTGCGGTGCACAGAGCGGACGGTCGTAACGAAACTCCGTTGCTCGATATCCGATACGCGATCGCCAACCAGAAGAATATTCCTCGTTATTCAGGTGCGAATTTATACAAATTCATATATTTGCGAACATAATTAAAGAAACGGGACTTTGATATAATAAATTACTGGAGCAATGGAAAATTAATATACACTGTCTACTCGTTATCGTTACCATGACTAGCCAACTGATATATTTTTGTTCGTAGATGGGTGAATATGCGAGAGGCTGCGGAAGGAAGAAGAAAAGCAAGTGGAAGAAGAAAAAGTGGAAATGTTCGCCGTTGATAAGGGAGAAGATTGAAGGTGAAAATCGGTAGTTAGCCAAACATTATGTATTCGAGATAGCTACAAGTTTCTCCGAGAGATATTTGCGACGAAAGGGGTACGGGGTTAGATTTCTATCCCCAATGGTGGTGCAAGCTTCGTTTTCTCATTGGTCCCCGCAGATTCGTGACGTCACTACGCCGGCCTATGTAAAGGTGAAGCACGCGGAGCGTCAGTACATCGTTGTCCGTCACGTCGATCGGGTCTCAACTTTGAATCGCCCTCTGCTCCTGCGAGAGTCGTAAACGAATCTTTAATTCGAGCCAATCGACAACGAAAATCATCGTTATCCTACTCACGAGGACATCTTTACGCTCATCTACGAAGGTAACAGGTACGCATGAAATTTTTTTACGAGTCGTCAGGTCGATTTTTTTTTTTTTTGTTTCTATAATTAGAAATAACTACATATATATACACGATACGTATATACCGCTACTATTCTTGTTCTCTCGAATCATTTACGAATCATTAAACAATCGATATGGTCTCTATAATAATTCCACGCTAAGTCAACCTCACGTTTTCGGTAAACTTTAAAGCAGAGATAATACACCGCGTTCGAAACTGCTTCGGGCGATACATGAAATATACAGGGAACAACAGACGCGTTAACTTTTGATGGAATAAAGAATTCAAAACTACATCGAAATATAATGCATTGAAATTGAAATATCATTCTACGATGTACGTGGCGTTAATATTTACATTTCTTATTTCCTTTCTCGGTCAGTTTGCTTTCCTTCTCTTTCGCTTTCAAGTCGCAAAATATGTTTCTCACAGTCGCAATGTTTGCAAACCATCCGAGCTACGTATGTGCTTTCGTTCTCCAGTTAGCACATGCTTTTATAAACGCGTTTTCGTGCATAGGTGAATATACATATATTTGTGTACTGTATACGTAGAGATATTCGTCAAAGAAGAAATAAAGAGCGAAAGGATGGCGAGGAAGGAAGAGAAAGAAGAAGAACGATATTGTTCGGAATTTAGGAATGGAGTTAAAGTAGAAGTGTACGGTCATACACAGCCATAAGTATTACATCTGTTGAAAACTTCCAATAAATTTTGCTTTAATTAATATTTCACGTTATAAAACACGTGTAACGTAATTAAAGCAACAAATTTACAATAAAATGGTTAAAAAAATAAAAGCAGTGGAAGCATTCAATTTGTGTTAAATGTCAGCACTCTTAATGTACTTATATCGTGTATACATATACGAACGATTTTTCGAAGCAACAGGCTTCCAAATAGAACGTACAAATACGACCAACAGCATTCGACAGTAAATTAAAAAAATGTTCGAGTTTCGTTTCATAAAACATTAACGACAGAAACGATTATTGGTCCGAGTCGACGTATTTGTAACACTGAAAAACTGCGCGTACCGTTATAAGCGCATTTTCCGCGATTTTCTAGCTATTGTTAAACAAACGTATTACCAACGAACGAAAAGACGAACGACTAAGAAAGTAATTAGTTTCTTGAAAGTACCCATTCCTCGAAACAATAAAGTTGCGAACGATTTTGTTCGATCGAATAGGTATAACGTCTAACAAGTTTCTACATTGTTCGAATTCGCACTTTTCGCGTTACTTCAATTACAATGAAGCTAAAAACAAACCAAACGAATGAAATGTAACTGGCACGAAGTTTCTATACAGTGGATAAAGCTACGCTTTAATTTGCCAATATAGAATTCGCTCGATTGTTTCAAACTCCGTTTCGATTTCTCTATTCGTTGACGCACAGTCGAACGTATCTCTCGAATGTAAATTCATCATTCTGGATTTTACCAAATTTACCCATTCGTTTACGAATTCAAACGACGAACTTTGATCGAGCGTGTTCGTTGCTTTTTAGCATAATATTTCTCGTATCGAAACGCGTATACGCGTTTAATCAACCGATTGCCATATTCGAAACTTCACGTTTTAAGTGTACCGTACTCTTTATACTTGATCGATCCTCTTGAGCGCACCGATCGTTTCAACGCAAAACGCGCGTACGCTCGAAATTAACTAGCCTCGTTACTATCGAACGTAATTGCAAAAGTTTAATCAGATCTTTAAATTCGTTGTTCCAGACACTCGATGAAATCTTCGTATTGACACATATTTTCCGTGGTAAGCTACGTAAACGGCATAACGATCGTACAACATCGTATTGGTGCTCGACATCTACATTTGTATCATTAGCATCGCAATCAAGAAGAACATTTTATTACGAAGAACACGCGAGTTCCGTAAATACATCCATTCGACTGATTAATGCGCATAATCCGAACGGGTCTACTTTTCTTAACGTCTACTTACCGCGTTTCAACAATTTCATATTTTCCTCTTATCGACCGCTCTGTTCTTTCGCGGTTCTTTCAATTTCTTCGAGAAACGAATAATTCGCCGCTCTTTTCGTAGAAAGTGTACGCGAGAACGCACGATTGCGATTAGTTTTATCTCTTCACCGTTCCACGGTCCAATTCTCCCTGTACAGTCTTTCCATCTGTCGTTCATTTTACCTCATCTTCCAGTATCGTATATAAGAAAAGGATACAAAGTGACTTAAGAACGAATCACATCATTGCCGGATAAAACAGACTTTTTTCGAACGTTCTTTGGTTCTCGATTAGGAAAACGCGATTTCTTCTCCTACGAAATTGTTCTCGTACAGCAAGAAAAGATACGGAATTACAAGTTTTCCATTACTTACGCAGTCCTGGTTTGTTTCTTTACACGATTTTCATCGATACATCTGCTTCTCCTTCTCTTCTTACGTGTATCATTCTGTTTGATGTTTGACTCGTCGTGTTTAACGTCGTCATTTGCATATTATCGTATGCATATCAGTGTCATATACGATATATAACAGCTATAATACACGAGTTTCGCATTATTATTACGTGGTCGCATTTTTTGTCGCAAATTCTTTCAAAACTTCGATCATTATTCTTTCGATATTCCTATTAAAATTTTGCCCATTCGCTTTTTTCCCGCGAGCAACATGACGAAAGATGAGAAACAGCGATAATGTTACATACAGTGTAAAACTGCAAATCTAGAAGAGAAAACCCATCGAAAATGATCTCTTTGTCATATCTATATATCTATATATATATATATGCAATGTTATCCGAAAGGTTTTTAAGGATGGAGATTTAATTAAAACTTGCACGATACGATTTGCACCTAAATATAACGACGTACATAATTACACAAGAACACGTTACTCCATTGTGAACGTTCATATTTTATACTTTTAATTAACTCAATCTGACAAAATAACACAGTCACCGACGTATTTGGAAGCGCGTGCTTTAATCAAGCAAATGGTTCCGTTCGCCTAATCATACATTGACTCGTACTACTTGTCGCTTTCCTCCTCTAAACGAAAACAATTCGCTCACATCACTCGCCAATCTATCAATTCGTGCTTCTAGTTCAAACGATCGTCGTTAATACCCTTAAGATAAAAACTTCGAGTCATCGACTTCCTTTTACTCTTATACTTCGCTACTATCTTCATACTTGGTACTTTAAAGCGTCGTGTAAATATCTTTCTAACCATTATCATCCGCGTGGTACTTTAAATTACTTTTAGAATATAAACGATCACCTGGGAGGATTAACCTTGAAAGGATTCTTACACGGAATCAATGTGAGCTAAATTTATCGACAGGATTTATTTATTAAATTTATTGACAAACATTTATGACACAAGTGCGAACATTTGTATGAAGATAATAGTAGTTGTTTATTGTGGAAAATTTCTTTCGACAAAGGCAAGCATGTGCAAAAGGTAAAACTTAATTCAAAGAGTAGGCGATTCTGATCATTGTCAAATTAGGTGTATTCGCGATAAAACGTGGACGCTTGGACGTAACAAAGGGCGTATTGTGCTAAACTTCGCAGAATACGTTAAGCAGATAGTAAGACATAGTACGACCGTTATAGGAACAACGATGAATTTCAGAGTAGTTTCGTAGATAAATAAATAGACAGAGAAAGAAGACTCTTCGATCTGGAAGCTTTCGTATTTAACGCAATCGCATCGAAAGGTGTAGAGGAAAAAAGTAGAGGAAAGATTTCCAAGTGCTTGAAACTAGTTCCCTACTCCATTGGAAACTCGTTTGTAATTTACACCGTAAATCGACGATCGACTAGCATCGATGTAGCTACAGTTTCGAAACACTTAATCCGTACTATCCGGCTAAACCGAGCATTTTCTCATTGCGGGTTAATCGGTCGTTAATCCACTTGTAATTGGCTACTTATCGACCATCGTTTAAACGAAGATCGAAAAACAGTATTCGGTGATATTCTCGTTTACGAAGTTTACAGAAAAACGTGTAACACGATGTCTGTGATTTTATAAAATATACGTCTACAGATGTTTTCTACGAACGCGTGCAACATATACATCAAAGACAAAATATGGTAGAGATAAAATACAGGCGGTTTACCAACTATATTCCACGTAGACCTGGTTGCTTTTATCGTTCCTTTCATTCGGTTAAACGCAAAGAACTCCGACGCACGCGTTACACAAAGTTTTATTTTTATTCGTTATTAACTATCACCGACAGTTTCGAGTCTAACTTCAATACAAATTATCCGAACAAACAGACAAGGTTAAAGAAACGAAAAATCTAAACGTTGGATTCGCGCGAACGTTCCAATTCGTTTCATTTATCCTCGTTTATCGTTACGGGTACGAAGATTCAAAGAAGACGCAGTTTAGCGTAGAGGGAAACGTGATTTAGCGTAGATTTTTCTTTCAATTTGTAAGAATTTTCTCCAGCAACGTATTCCTTCGTACAAATTCTTCCGCTATTCTCGTATGTAACTACTAAATTTTTCTCTCGTTTCTTTATGACCTTTGCGGAAAAAATTGATTTTCCCGTTTACTTAACTCGCTTCGAACGAAAACTGAAAACATTCTTTTTTCAATCACGCCATTCTGTTAAATTGTGCGATCGAAATGAAACGTAAAAGCTCCGACAACCCTCTAACTTTGGCATTTTTTACTAAGATTGAAACATTTTAATAAAAGAATCGTTATTTCTACAGAACGTTTCCAACTATAAACGGTTTGTCTTGAAAACAATTCACTTTGTCGCCTATATATTTACGTAGCGCGATTATTGCATCGTGAAACCATTCAAGTTTCGATTTTCAAATTTTCGTTACAGATTTCTACATCACTTTTAGAACGCCGTTTAAAATTGAACGAATACGACCCGAGGCTTTTAACCTGTAACTGTTACTCTGCAGGCAAACAAAACACGTGCACCCACTCGTGTCAAGAAAAAACTTATCGCAGGATGACTGATAACTT